AAAGCCGAGATATACAATAAAAAAAGAAGATGTATTTGGTGACTTTTCTAGTAACTTTCTTGGGTGTGAATCTGTCTTTTTGGTTTACTCCTCCTGGTTAAAAAACAGAGTATAGATGACGAATAGATGAAAAGGTATACTCGTATTTTTACTTTCCGTTTTTTTAAACAATAATTTATGGTCACAATTTGATTTTTTGTTATTTTCCTTATATTTTAAATAAACAATATTTATATCATTTTTTTATATCAAGAATATCTTTATTTTCCCGTTTTTTCAATTAAAATTGATAAATAATTTACGGAGATATTTGCAAAAAAGCAGTTTTTTTGCACTAATTTATAAATTTTATTAATTTTTTTATTAACAAAATAAAATGTTATTAATACATTTGAACATCGAGGAATTACCGTCTTTTAAATTTGTGCGAAATTTCCCCCGATCGGTCAAATAGTTTAAAAGTTATTTAATTTATTTATCCCTGAGGCTAATTATTTAAACTATTGAACTTGCCCTATGAATGATGCTAGACACATTTAGCAAATTTCATAGGATTCTTTAAGACTTAAACTATCTCAGAAGTTAAATGCATATTGCGTTTTCATCGAAATTATTTACAAAATAAACGTTTGAAAAAGGGTATGTTTTTTACTTATAAACAATTGTAATAACTTCTATATTTTTCAAGCTACAGACTTGTACGTACAACCATTGGATAGCTGGTAAAAAAACTCACATTTAAAAAAAAACCTTCTATGACCAATAGGAACGAAGTTAGCGACTATTTTAAAAAAAATCATATCTCCATTGTTTATAAACATTAAGAAGTAAAATTTGCACAAATGAAATGATTTGATGAAATGATAAATGTAAACTTTAGATGAAAATCTAACTTTATGAAACTTATAGCTTCACATTTTTCGAAACTTACAGCCTTTCGAAACGAAGGTACTTTCGAAAGATCGACATAGGAAAGTGGAGGGGAAACTGTTTCAGCTTAACGCTCCAAAATTTCGTCAGTCTCAGTGTAGTGGCTTTAGAAAGCAATATACTTCTTTGGTAAATATTTTGTATTTGAACAAAAAAGTTTTAACTAAACGTATTTAATTACTTTTTGATTGAAAATTGTAAGTAATATTTAAAACTATTGAATGAATAATTAATTATTTTCAACTTGTATAATCAGTGAAAAATATTATTTATTATAGATTATTTCAAAATAAACAGCAGACTGTGGCATTAACTTGTTCAAGCAGTAGTAGTTTCAAAGTAAGTATTTTAGTAGTAAGTCGCAGAGGAAGATGCTGACTTGCTCATCGTACAAACAGCTCTACAGCAGTACAGAAATGAACCAGAAATGATACAGTAATAATAGGTAATGATACTGACTTACTCGTGATTATGACTCAACTTTCTTCTCCAGACATGAATATATTTTTTGAGAAGAAAGGTGAAAACGATAAATCCACACTTTATGATTGTAACAGTTTTCAACACCCTCATTTAAGAAAGTACGTCGGCTTTTTGTACATTTTCACTGGATGTGATACCACTTCATGCTTTTATAATCAGGGAAATTTAAATTAATCAACGCAAACGAAGAAACTCTTAGTTTCATGGATATTTTCTACGATTCCAACGCAAGTAAAGAAAATATAATGAGAATTGGTTGTGAGGTGATTGTGTTCTATACTCTACTGCAGTTGATATAAATTATAAAAAAAACACAACAATACACTTTCTTTAAATGATTTAAGATACTTACAATTCAACAGAAATATCGGTAAATCATCTTTTAAACTAGAAACTCTGCCACCAACTGAAGATGCAGCCAAACAGCATGTTCTTCGGGTTTACTATCAATTACAAATGTGGTTAGGTAATAAGTTAGATGCTTGTGCCTATGGTTGGAGACAAAGTGCCACTGGTTTTGAACCAATTTATACTCTAGATAATTTAATTCTCGAAGAGACATTAAAGCACATTACATGCAAATGCACCACAGGTTGCAAAACTACTAGATGTGGGTGCAGAAAACGTGGTTTGAATTGTACGAACTTGTGCATAAATTGTACTGAGGAAGAAGTAGAGGAGAAAATATGCTGCAACCTCGGTACAGTTACGTTTGACGACGACAGTGATTCTAAATAATAATGTAATAAGTGATACATATATATATATATATATATATATATATATATATATATATATATATATATTTATATATATATATATATATATATATATTTATATATATATATATATATTTATATATATATATATATATATATATATATATATATATTTATATTTATATTTATATATATATATATATATATATATATATATATATTATATATATATATATAATATATATATATATATATATATATATATATATAATTTCAGTTGTTTTCCGGGTTTGACTCCGCGTTAAGTAATTTTGGTTTTTTACAAAAACCATTGTTTTGACGACGTTTCGGCAAGGTCACACTTGCCATTGTCAAGTCAGATTAGTTCTGCTTCGTCTTGATGTTTCAGGAGAACTGATTTCTCGGTCGCTGCTCGCTAAGTTTAAATACCTTGAAGCGCTTCTTGTGATTGGTCCTGTGCGCAGAGTGGGCGGGGTCTTCTTCGCTATTTTAATTTCTACGTTTTTCTGTAGAATTGGTTTCCACGTATTTGGGAGTCTTTGGGCATCGTCTCTGGTATTTAAATTTTTTGGATGTTTTTCGATCTCTATGGCTTCCCTGATTACACGTTTGGCCTTATTTTCGATATTGGCTAGCATTGTTGTTCCATTTAAGTCGATTTTGTGTCCTGTGTTGATGGCATGTTGTGCTAGAGATGAAGTTTTCTGTTTTCTTTCGATGGCGTTTTCGATGTTCTTCGCGTTTCAAATCCAATATATATATATATATATATATATATATATATATATATATATATATAAGCGGTGATCCTACAGCTTCTGCCGCTTCCCGCATTTCGATAGCCATCTTTTTCTATCTCTCCAGGTGTCTTCATCAATGGCTGTGTCTTTCACGGTTTCCATAACACCTTGTATCCAAGACTTGGCTGGTCTTCCTCGTTTCCTTCTATTACTTGTATTACATAGCTCTTTTTGGCCATCTGTTGTCGTCCATCCTCTGTACGTGTCCATAATTGAGTAACCATTACTCTATTACTCTTTTTTAGTTCTCATAGTAGCTTTGTTGGACCAAAGTATCGAATTCAGAATTTGAACACTCTTCCTGCCTTGTTGCACTCTATAGTCTATATCTCGTTCCGTTGTTCCTTTACTGCAGATAATACTTCCCAAATATTTGTATTCGTAGCACCTTTTCATTTGTCTAATTTCCAAATCCGGGTCTTCGTCTTCACTGCCTATTCGCATATATTCTGTTTTTGACATATTCATACTCATCCCCCATTTTTCGTATTCATCTTTGAGCTTTCTAAGCATATAATCTGCATCTTCTTCACAGCTTGCAATTAGTACTTGATCATCTGCAAAGAACAGCGTTGTCAGATAATGGTTGTTAAGCTTCAACCCCATTCCCGCACATTTTTGTCTCCATTGGTGCAGTGCTTCTTGGATATATATTTTGAATAGGGTGGGGGAAAGACAACATCCTTGTCTCAAGCCTTTCGTTACTGTAAATACCCTTGAGAAAGTATTTCCTGTTTTTACAGTGCTTTGAGGACATTTATAGATGTTCAGTATTGCTTTTAGATATGTTTTACTAAGGTCCGTTTTCGTCAAGACACTAAATAAGAGTTTTAAAGGAACTGTATCATAAGCCTTCTCCAGATCTATAAATACCAGATGCGTAGGGAGGTTTCGAGCTGTTCGTTTTTCAATTACTTGTTGAAGGGTAAATGTGTTGTCCACGCACGATCTTCCTGCTCTGAAGCCGCTTTGTTCTTCAATTTCTTTATACTCCTCTTCTATTCTTCTTTTCAATATACGACCATATAACCTTCCCAGCGAGCTAGTTACGCTAATGCCTCTATAATTTCCGCACTCTTTCCTGTCTCCCTTTTTATAAATGGGGCTAATGTGGGCCAAATTCCAATCGTCTGGAATCGTTTGGCCTTCAATTAAGCATTTATTAAAAATATTCACTAAGCTTTCCAAAAGAGCATCCGGTCCATGTTTCACCAACTCGATGGGAATGTCTCCAGGCCCGGGTGTTTTTCCATTTTTCATTTGTTTCAATTCTTTTTTCAGTTCTTCTTTGTTTATCTTATGCACCTCTGAGTTTTCTGTCATTGAGATATGGTCAGGTCTTTCCATAAATTCGTGCCTACTTTCTGTTAATAGCGTTTCGTAATATTTTTCCCACTTTTTATTTTGAATCAGGTTTATATTTCCTTCATCTTTTCTTTCTTTTCTAATACTTTTTATGAATTTCCAAGCTTGTGTCACTTTGGTTCCTCCTAAGCATCGGTCCATCTCTTCGCATTTCTCTTCCCACATTTCGTTTTTTCTTTTAGCGACTTTCTTCTTTGCTTCCCTGTTGAGTCTGCTGTAAATTCTACGGTCTTCTGAGTCTTTCGTGGATAGCCATGTTTGATAAGCTTTTTTTTGTCTTTAATTAATTTTCCTACTTCTTCGTTCGACCACTCAGGATTTTTTCTTTTGTCAGCTTCTTCGTACCCCAATTCTTCGCGCGTATCGCTCTGGAACCTTCAACCGCCGGGTGCTACAGCCCCGAAAAGACCCCTGGTTAAATCGTCGCTGCTTCACACTTAAATCAAAACAAATACCGCCTGAACTAATGTTCAGTAAAACATTTTCCAATAATTATTGTAATGAGGTTCTAAAACTGTTAAAATAAATGAAAATTACATCTTACTTTGCAATCTCGAATCCTAAAATCGTTTTCAAAAATTTTTATGAATTAAAAAATTATGTTAACCCATAATGTTTATCACAGGATAAAATATTGACCATTATTCATTAATTTTATTCTAATTGTTTTTTTTTATTTCAGCAATTTTTTCCATATGGGATGTTGAACATTGAAAACGAGGCCTCCAGGGATGAAAACAAGAATCCCGCTAATCCCTCCCACTTACAGGTAGAGGTAATTTTTAAATGTTGTAAGCGTCCATATAAAATTTTTGCTTTGTGGTTATTTTTTTGATATTGTTAAAAAATTTCAAAATTAATTTAAGAATAGCATTTGCTGATAATATTAATTTCATTAAATCGAGCTGGAAAATTCATTATAATTTATGCTTTATAAGTTCTTAATTAATTGTAAAGCAAATCTCTGATAAAAAAAGATGATACGTGGATGTATCTGTTTTCCAGTAGCAAACTCACCGTTTAAATAAACAAGCCAACTTTATTGAAAACAATTTTCCTTCTTCAACTTCCCCATTCCGTTTTGTTGATTGTTTGCATACATTTTCGCCTAATTTGTATTCCGACTTCGTCCAAGAATAATTTCGTACTTAACTAGCCATCAACAATTTGATTAATTATTTCATTATCCTTTCCCCATGCGCATTTTATCAGATCTATCTGGGGTAACCGGTCACGATTCATTTACTTGTATGGTAATTTGTTTTCCATATTGGGGTAATCACATACTCGAACAATAAATCATTCACTGACATATCGAAAAGCGTTTTTATATAAAACTGTATGAAATTTGCTATCTATTGAACCGAATTAAAATTCAGTTTTCTATAAATCGGTAATTTTAGTATATATGCAAATAGAATTAGTTCAGAATATTGTACTGGCTGGTCATGTGAATGCTTTAAAATCTGATTGAAAATTATTTACATTTAGGAATTTTTTTATTACGTGCCAAATTCCCCGTGAAAATAAAATAAAAATACAGTGCAATTGGAGGTTGGATATCATCACTATCTTTACTCTATCTACTGCTGCTCTGAAGAGTTCTATAGAACTGCATTTAAACCAGTCCATTAAATTCTTCTTCTTGTTATACGAGTGCGTATATCTATAGCAGTTTTGCAGTTTGTAGAAACGGTTTAACTGTTTTGTGTGTGCATTCGAGAAGGTACGTTAACTTGCCAAAAAATAAGTGCAATTTATTTTTTAACTGTTTTTATGTACTGTGGCAAAAACATGGAGCATTTAGAGGTAAAAAGTTTCAAACAAGGACAAATCTTAGATTTATATGCGCAACAAATTATTTCGAATATGTTGATACATACAACAAAAACACATTCCCATCTGACTCCAACACAAATTGTTTCTATAACAAGTACAGCGCTGGGTGTTAGCGATAGGACAGTCTGGAAAATTCGTCAGGAAGGATTGGATCATAATGGAGACTTACCTAAAATTCTGAAAAACCCACATATTAGCATGAAGCATTATCCACCTGGATAATGCTTCATATCATTCATGTAAACAAAATTTCCCAAGAAGCTCCTGGGACAAACAACAAATTCAAGAATGGAGAAGGATATATTTTATGAAGAAGATTATTTAAAGTCAGAACTATTGGAGGTAGAAAACAGGCAGATATACGACAAATATAACATCGAAACTTTGGTCGAGAAATACGGCGTAGAAATATTACGATCGCCTCCCTATCAGTGTGAGCTTAATCCAATAGAGATGGTTTGGAGCCAAGTTAAAAATTACGTTGCAGCCCGAAACACTGACTTTAAAAAAGATCGTGTGCAACAACTCATCCATGAAGCGTTTGCCAATGTCTCTGCTAAACAGTGGCAAAAATATATACAGCATGTCATCAGAATTGAAAAAAAAAATGTGGATAGCTGACAACCTACAAGAAGATATCCTACCGGTGATTATCACAGCCAACACCGGCAGTTCCAGTGAGGACGATTTTTCCGAAATGGAGTAGAGACCAGACACTGTTATTGTAAGTCTTATCTTTATTCATTAGGTAGCGTTTAGGCCACATAAATTTTTATTCTTTTATTAGCGTAATTTTATTCTTTGTTGTATACACACTTTTCTTTGTAATAATTGTGGAGACTGTTAATAGAGTAGATAGGCTATGTTTTTGTGAGGTCATCCCCTACATCGCAACCCCTAGAATCGCAACCCCCGGTCGTAAGTTCCAAACGGCTTAACGTAGGATGACGTACGAGGGCTCGTTGGAAAGGGGATAAAAAATGGGGTTGAATGAAATATGTGCCGTGCGCATCGGAGCATGCCAAAAGGGCATTATTGGGTATCTTCGTTTCTATTGGTCCGATTGTGACGTACGAGGGCTCGTTGGAACGGGAGAAGGCGATGGGAGACAAAAAACAAAGATGGCGGCATTGCCAAATGGGCGCTAAAACGTATCTTCGTTGCTATTGGCCTGATTTTGACGTATGAGGTGTCAAATGAAAGCGTTGTTTGCACAGAAGCCATTTTAACGCTCGAACATTCTTCTTTTCCGTACAGTGGCTAAGAGAACATCGACGTAGGACGTGACATTCGACACAGAACGTAAAATGTCACGTGAAATGACGTGACATTCGACGCAGGACGTGACATTCAACGCAGAAGTGAAATGTTGCGTGAATAACGTGACATTCGACGCAGGGCTTGACATTTAACGCAGGACGTGAAATGTCACGTGACATTCGACGCATGACGTGAAATGTCAAGTGAAATGACATGACATTCGACGCAGGACGTGAAATGTCACGTGAATTGGCGTGACATTCGACGCAGGACGAGACAGTTATGTGTCAGTCAAGACGTCGCTTGACATAAAACGTGGCATTCAACATAGGACATATTCAGTAGTACTATGAATTCCATCGAGTACATACATAGGGTTATGGAATTTCAACGTAAACTTAATCAGTTAAATAAAGACATTAAATCATATGAGAATATAAAACTAATTAAAAGACAATTAGATAGCATGCATATTGAGGACAAAACGTGGAAACCCGAACAGTTGAATCTACAGCAACAGCAGCAGCAAGACACCTGGATTTACGCCTTTAGAAAACTGCCACCCGCTACATATCCATTGAGACGTATTCAACCAATACCATGGGTGAGCAACAACACCAGCGAGCATATGAAAAGTGAAATAGACAATGTCTTTGCAATGTCTTGTGTAATATTAGCATCTGTATTTATCTTAATTTTAAAAATTATTTTTGAAATTGTAAGGAGAAAATTTGAATCTTCATGTAATATAAGACTCGATCAATAAAGATGTTTTAAATAAAAAAAGCGTTTAATTTCTAATATATTTATTTATACATAAAATTACAATGGTATTATGTTATTGGCAAACCAGTGACGTAGACGATCCACATTTCTTTCGGTGCATGAAAATAATCCAGCGGCATGACATGGGTTTGCAGTAGGGCCAGCGTTTCCAGTAGCATAAGGCGTACCATCAAACTTGCAAACATCAATAATAATGGGAAAAACTCCAAAAACGTGACGTTTCTTATCCAAATATTCTGCTTTTTGTTCTCCTCGAACGTAGATGTAATCTGCTGCATACAAGAACTTGTTTTCTAGTATTTCATTGATTTTGGACCATTTTACTTGTTCATCAGAGTATCGAATTCCAAGCAGTTTTTTCTCCACGTATGATGCAGTCTTCTTATCCCCATTACTTAGCGCATTAAATGGTTTCTGAGCAAAAAGATGTAATGACTTCGTTTAAAACCTATTTCAATGGTAAGTTCTTTGGGAACAAACCATCCGTCCACATCGAATCCCTGAATGTCTACGAATGCTACTCTCACGATGACTGCTCGTGTACTACTGGCAATTTATGCATCTAATTTAGACTTTTTACAATTTCCGTGAGAGGGAAGTACTCCATTACGCAGTCGTGAATTATAATGCAATAAGCCTTGGTATTTTCAGGAAAACCATTATTCGCTTCAATATCGAGTTTTATGTCAACAGTGGATGCTTTCATGCTTTCTTCTTGTTTCGAAAAATCGATGAAGAACAATGTGTGATTTGCGAAACCTGAGAAATCGAGTAGTGGTCGCTTTTCTTGGGAATGTATGTAGCTAGGATATAATTCGGTATAGTTGAAATAGGCCTCATTGTAGTCAGTTTTGTAGTCGTTGCAGCGAATAAGCCTAGATGGTCTGTTAGCGATAATAACTATGCAATTTATTGGAATTGGAATAAAACGATTTTACGCTGGTATTTCCCTCGTGCCGCTGCATATGTGTCACTGAAGGCGTCTGTATGTCGCTGTTATGACGCTCTGTTACCCTCTGTGTACCTCTGCTACCCTCTGTTACCCTCTGCTACCCTCTGTTGTCCTCTGTTATTGTGTCTTTGTCTTTTAAAATGTCGAACGTCACGTCAAAACGTCACACGTCACGTAATTTCTACATTTCACGTTCTGCGTCGAATGTCACGTGACATTTCACGTCCTGCGTTGAATGTCACGTCCTGCGTCGAATGTCACGTTATTCACGCGACATTTCACGTTGTTCGTCGAATGTCACGTCCTGCGTCGAATGTCACGTCCTGCGTCGACGTTCTCTTAGCCACTGTACGGAAAAGAAGAAGAATGTTCTAGCGTTGACATGGCTTCTGTGCAAACAACGCTTTCATTTGACACCTCATACGTCAAAATCAGGCCCATAGCAAAGAATATACGTTTTAGCGCCCATTTTCAGACCAATAGCAACGAAGATACGTTTTAGCGCCCATTTGGCAATGCCGCCATCTTTGTTTTTTGTCTCTCCGCCTTCTCCCCGTTCCAACGAGCCCTCGTACGTCACAATCGGACCACTAGAAACGAAGATACCCAATAATGTCCTTTTGGCATGCTCCGATGCGCACGGCACATATTTCATTGAATCCCATTTTTCATCCCCTTTCCAACGAGCCCTCGTACGTCATCCTACGTTAAGCCGTTTGGCACTTACGACCGGGGTTGCGATTTTAGGGGTTGCGATTTAGGGGATGGCCTCAGAAAGACATAGCCTATCTACTTAATAGTAATAATTGATCCAAGTTGGTATATATCCTGTCGGTATATAAATTAACAGTTTAAATTTGTAGCCACTACGGAGCTACGAATTTTTTTTTGTAGCATTTCCCTAGTAGACTCCGTTCTGTTGTTACACCCTGTATAAT